AATATTTCTGAGGTAATGCATTGTTTTCCCCTAGAGCCCACAAGTGGCTACATGTCAGTGTTGCTCAGACACTGCATGTGTGGAGGCCGCGGCTTTGGCAGAGGCTCCGTGTGGGGTCTGTGCCTGGCCCTGGCTGCTGGGGACGACCAGCATGGACGCCCTCGCGCGTGCTGCGTGAGCAGTAGTTGTCCAGCTTGTGTCAGTAGCGAGATAGATTTAAATGAAAGCTTCTAAATGACAAGTGCTAATCGTGATTTAATCACAGTAATGAGCCTTGATTTAAATTGCGTGGTGTTTTTGTTATGCCCCTCTACTTTTATTTGTTTTCGTATGGGCAGACTTGCTCTCAGTCGCTGATAAACCGCATTTTCTCGTCAGCCAGATGTACAGCCCCGCGTTCGGTTTGCTCTTGCCCTTTCCCGGCTCCTGGAGCCCCGTGCAGGTTGCGGGCCGGTGCGAGGGCCGCACGTGCAGCGTGGACAGCGGTGGCCACGGGCAAAGCCACAGCCCAGCACCGCGCGGGGAGCTGTAGGAGCCACAGTTGTTAAGGCTGTTTCTGCTTTTTTCTAGGAATAATTTAAGAAGTGGCACTCTCTAACTGAACAATGTTTATCTCATCAGCTGTTCGTCACCGCTGTTGTAATGTTCGTAATCAGTTGTTTCGTTGATTAGAATCGATTAAGCTTCAACACACGTTGTCCTAATTTCAGAGGAGCCAGTTATGAGGGCTGGAAGTGGGAAAAGTGTTTAACTGAAATACAAAATACTAAGACAGACAACATGTGTTTTAATTCAGCACTGGGTCCTGCTCCTGATGAGGGGATGGGGAGCAGAGGTCCCTGCTTTCCCCATCCCCTCCGGCCCACGTCCTCGTCACCCCACATGTGTCGCTCAACTGCGTGTGGGGCGGTCAGCAGCCACCTGGGCCGCTAGGGACTTTCTGGAGTTGAGGAGCGCTGGAGATGGAGACCGCCGGGGTCTGCCACAGCTGGCGGGCGCTGAGCTTGGGAGGACGGGACCTGCGTAGGGGTTGGGCTGAGGCAGTTTTGGCCTCCTGCTCCTCGCAGAAGCTGCGTACATCAAGGAGGAGGGGCAGAGCCGAAGCTTAATTCCCCTCCCGGACGTGGGGTTACTCTGTCCCCCAGGAAGCCGGGGTCCCTTTCGCTGTGCTGGGGAGAGGCTTAGCTTGCTGCCTGCGCGGGAGTAGCAAGGAGTGTTAGTATTCATAACTTTAAAGTATAACGTAGTGAAATAATCCTTTAATTCCATATGGTGTGGAACACTCAGGCGCCTCTAAGCTATACCATAGCTGGGATTTACTGCTGCCAAATGGTGTGGGGTTTTAAACAGGGTAAAAGAGAAAAAGCTCTGAAGTGCAGCATTAGGGTGTTTTTGACACAATATGTAAGCTCTGTGAAAAAGGCTTTTTACAAAATTCTCCATAGATTGATTTATTTGGCGTTTTGTCACATGCTAACTAGGCACGGCTACTGTGGTACTATCTATCTGAAGTGGCCTAGGGATGTCACAAGAGCAGGGTGCCGTGAGAGGATGGTGCTCCCTGTTCTGGTGGGCTCCACTGCCCTTGCCTCTCCCCTCACGCTGCTTAACGCGATCGACTGTCTCTATTCTTCACTCTTCTGCTTTCCGAGACGAAATGCAACGCAGAGAGAGACATGGTGCTGTGGCTTATCCTGAGGAGTGCTGTAAAGCTTATGTCGCCCATCATTTCATAGAAATGTTGGACTAATATAATAGCAACAGCACCGTTGTTGACCTGTCTCAGGCCGAAGCCGCTGTGTTTAGGTCTCACTTTCTGCTGTAACCCAGAATACACCAGTAGGAAGCGTAACTTGGCCTGACTCCATGTCCTGCAAAGATGACTGTTACTCGTCGTTATTTTATGACTTGCAGCAGCTTCATTTTGTGTTTCTGCATTTATTTTGGTTTATTCGTAACCTTAGCAATTCATAACCTTAGCACGGCCCATTTTGGGGTGATGTTTAGGTGTGTGCTAGCCTCTCTGTTTTTGCTTCGTCACGTGGTGACTGTTAGCACTGCGCATCTTTGTGGCTCTTCCTCTACCCCCAAGTGCTAACTCAGTGTCCCAGTAACTCCTCGTGTACCTCTTGGTGCTTCCAGCTCTGTATCTATCCTGCGTTAGTTGGCAGGGTAGCTCAGTGTGACACCCTTTTTTTGGCTCAGTGGGTTTGAGCAACCTGCAGGCTTCCTAAGTTTGCTAAATGTTGCTGAGTCCTTTTTGGAAGAAAACTGAAGAAGGAAAACCCAGGTGAGTGAACACTTTCGGATTTTGGTGTGAATCTGCTTCTGCAGGGAGCTGCCCTGTCACTAGGGATGTTGCTGATGTGCCAGGAGCAACGAATGTGGTTGGTTCCATTGCGCACTGCCTGCTCTGCACTTGTCACATCTGAACAGACCAGCTTTGGAGAACTGAGAAGAGCTGTCATTGTTCGTGCTTTCTGGAGGGAATTGGATATGTTCAAGAAAGCAGCAAAACCCACTGCTGATTCCATTGCAGCCCCTTAGGCAGCAACCTTCTTTCTAATGTTTTTGAGTTTCCTTTTATGTTCTTTTCCTTCAGTGGGAGAACATAGTTATTGAGGTTTCTTTGCTCCCAGAGCAAGGAGTCAGATTTTCTTTCTGCAGACCCTTCCTTGGCCCTTTGCTGAGGCGGGTGGAAGAGTCTGCAGGCTCTGCTGATTTGTGACCAGCCTCAGTGAGACTCTTGGGTGGGTGTTACGGAACCTCCACGTTGGCTTTGCTTTCTTTGGCAGCAATGAACCTGGTAGCAGCTTGAGGGTCCTCCCCACAGGAGAGCTGCTGTTTCCCTGGGGAGAGGCTTCAGCCTCGGCGCTCCTGGGTGCGGCGGAGCAGGCCGTGCAGAGAGAGCAGAGAGCTCCTCCTTGCAGATCCTTTGCCAACACTACGTTATTTCATGCCGCTTTAGTTCTAAGCGACTGCTTCTGCACGCGTACATGGAAATGAACCGTTGCCTTTCCACGTGAAGTACTCTCGTGTGTGCGTGTGTGGAACTACAGACTCTTTAGAGAAGACAAGGGCACGTTTCCATGCTTTATTTTTTAATTCAGCCCAGATTGATGGGTTTTGGAATAGAATGGAAACCCTCAACGGTTTGGCACATGGAGAAAAACAGCTTGAAAAAAAGAAAGGAAAATATGGAAAGCTTATAAATCTTAACTTGGACTGACTTCTGAGTTTGCTGTCTGGCCTATAACGATTCACTTTGTCCCTCCGGAGTGTTGGGCTTGGATATTTTCGTTGTATTCATTTACTTACTGTATATTGTCTCTAGCAAAATGACAGTTGCAGGGTTGCTCTTCGCTTCCCAGTAAATAGCTGGAATTCACAGTGCAGAAGAAGCAGTAAAACAAGCAGTGTCACTAATTAATACTTGAAAGTTGTGTACAAAAATAAATAGAGATTCCAGAAAAAGAAAGGATTTGAGGCAGCAAAAAGTCCTTCAGGCCCCAGTTACTGTAAGAGTTTCTCCATCGTTGAGCAGTTGTTGACATAAGCCTGAGTCAGTGAAACTTGAGCTATTTTCCTTTGCGTGGTTAAGTTTTAAACATGGGGCCATAAAATTACAGTACATAGTGGTCCTAGATAAGATCTGTGGGGTTTATATGAAGTATCAGACTTCTTGAATTAGATTTTCCCCCGCCGCCTCCACAAGTTCCTACCTAGCTTGTTAGATGTAATTGATAAGCCATTGCATGTGAAATAAAAATGTTTTTGCTTAAGATTTTCTGGCTGAGCTGGGGTGTGTTTAGTTTGTTTGTTTTACTGTAAGCGGTTGGCAAGCAGCTTGAGGTCTTGCTGCGTTTCCTTGGAGCCAGGAGGGCACCTGCGCCGTCTGCACAGCCCTGCCCGGGACTGCGTCTCGCTCGCGTGGACGAGCCCCTCTCCGCTCCTGTTTGGCTGGCGAAGAGCAACCTCAACTGCCTCGTCTCAGCCAGCTGAAGGGCCAGCCGTGCGGCGGATCCTCTCCCTCCCGCAGGAGGAGCAGGAGGGGAGGTTTTCCCGTGGCGTGGGCCAACTTTCCTGCAGCTTCTCTGATGTTCTCTCAGGAGCTGATGTGATTTTCCTGCTCATGGCTGGTCTTCAGTGCCCACCTTGCCCATGCTTTGAATACGCACCCATCCTCAAGCCAACACGAGAGCGATAATTTCTGTGCAGTCTAAGTATAAATTATTACAAGTTTGTTAGAGCGATTGGGGAGGAGCAGGTTGCGTTTGTTGTGCGCAGGTCAGTGAGTGTGGCCGGTGCTCCGTGAGGTCCCTCGTTAGGCCCCTCGCCTGGTGTTTCCTCTGCTTTGGCCTCTGCTGCCTGTGATTGGGCATGGGACTTTAACACTGAATTTCTGAAAAAAAGTATGGTCTTGAAACGGATATTTTGCCATGTTTACCTCAGGACTAATCTCCGCAGATTGTTTCAAAAGAGACATCAACCATGCTGAAACAAATTGTAATGCGTTTGGGCAAGCATAAAAAAGATGCTTTAAAACAAATACAAATGTTTTCTGCATTCCAGGAGATCTAGCTCAGATCTTTCTTCTGCTGCATGTATATGTGTGTTTGTATGTGATGTCTATACATTTTAGCTTTCCATTTCAATATATTGCCATCTTAATATGTTGACCTGTATAGTCCACAGCTTAAGAAAAGGCTGGGTGTATTACTGAACATGTTGAAAATATGGGCTACGTATGTTTTGCTTTACTACTCCACCTGCAAAGTTCATTAAGCCTGGTTTGAAAGGCAGAAGGAGGCTGTTATCCAGCAAATAGGTGTTGTCCTTTTGTGGATGTTGAGGTTAGCCTGTGCGGTCGCTACGTGGGGCGAGTTGGCCCCGAGCGAAGGTTGCTGCCTCCCCGCAGGGCCTTGCAGGGAGCCAGAAGATGAGGGAACTAAATCACCAGCCTAACCTTGTGCTTTCTCTGCATTTCTTCTCTCCTGCAGCTCAAACCAGGTCAAAACAGTTGCCGAGACAGCGACAGTGAAAGCGCCAGCGGGGAATCGAAAGGTTTCCACCGAAGTAGCTCTCGGGAAAGACTCAGCGACGTAAGTCAAACTCCTGGGCTCGAATAGCGCTTTGATCCCCCCGGGGTCGGTGTTGACGGGATGCGGGTTGGAGCAGCGCAGGGGCGGCTGGGTGGGGAAGGGGGGCTGGGAGGGGAAGGGATGACACAGTGCCCCTGTCCTGGGTACTTCATGTCTTCAGGTTTGCCACAAGTCTGAAAAATCTCCCGGCTGGAAAGGGTTGAAGACCATTTGGTGACGTTACAGTGTCCCGCCTAGCTGGGAAGTGCAATGACTTCTTTCTACCCCGTGCGGGGTAGGAAAAGAATGCCTCGCTTTGGGGTAAATGCCGTTTTGATGCAAAGTGTTAGGGAGTCTAGGGAGACGCAAAGAATCTCTAACAGGTGGCTATAACGTGGCCAGCAATCGCCCGAGCTCTGCTCTTCTTGCTCTGCCTCAAGGTGCTGCAGAAGGGTCTGCAATGGCAGCTCGAGGAGCCCTGCCCGTGCCCTGAAGGCCACGTGCGTTTTGCCCACATATGCATAAAAAGAACAATTTTCCTGTGGCTGCAATGAAATCATTATTTGTTTGTGTACCAGCACACTCCTTGAGTGTTTTACTCATGGCTCTGGGTCCTCTCTGCTACACGCTATACCATGTGTAGGATAAAGATGGCTCCTGTCCCAAAAGAGAATCTGAAATGGGAATTTTGTGGGTCGGATCCTATGTTGGTAGAAGCGTGGCTACATCCTTCAGAGCGTTAGCATCAGGTGGCAACCTGGGCCTCCTTCTGACTAACCCCTGTTTCGAAAAGAAGAGTTCCTCTCCCTGGCATGGTCGCGTAGGTTTGGTCCTCCAGAGACCAAGCCAATAAAACTGAATCGAGCAGATATTACAAATAATGCTTGGAAAAGGATACAGTTTTGTGTGTGTATATGTGGAGTCCACAGGCACGCTGCCAGCTATTTCTGCTGGATTGAGCCTATCCCTGGAATAGCAGAGGGATGTGATTTTCTTTGGAGGTGCGAAATCTGTCCCTCCCTCTCTTCTCACCCTGTTGTCACATTATTTTAGAGGTCCTTTCCCACCCCAGGACAATGCTTCGAGACACCGTCGGTTAGACGCTCCCCCACGGCTGTAAGAGCTCGTCCGTGACGGGGGAGCGACGTGGGAGCAGGAAGCGAGGAAACGCTGTGCATGGAGGCTGGCACTGACCGCTGCCTTCAGTGCCTCTGCTGTCACTCGCTGCGCCCTGCGGCAGCGAGGAGGTTGCCGGCACCAACTTCACTGTCACCTGGCAGCAGAAAGTCTCAGCTCCTTGCAGACATGCTGTGCTGCAGCCTTCTTCTTCCCTGGCACCGCTCCGAGGTGACGCTGACCTCGCCAGCACGTCGGTGCGAGACCCAGCACCATGGGCAGGGTCCTGCTTCCCCAACCCCGCTCCGGAGGTTGTTCTTCATATTCGGCCAGTGCCTTCCCTTCATCCTGGCCCTGCACGATGAAAGCACCCAAACCCTAACGAGGTCATTCTAAATAATATATCGTGAAGGAGTGAGGTGTGCACTGGTCCCTGGCAGTTCCTGGCCAGAAGTAAAAATAGAGCTAAGAGACCTAAGTTCTTTCTGAATATGGTTATTTTAGTCCAGAAGCTTGAACAAAAATGTAAAATATCCCAGGCACTTTGGCTCTGAGGTCAAAGCAGCAAGCCATGGACTCGAAGGCTAATGAAGCTCAGCCGACGTAGCCCGTCAGCGCTGGGGGATTCCATGTGTCTCCTGCACAGGAACATGGATAACGAATGATGCGCCGAGGCTCCTGGTGGATGATCCATTTTCTGATCCCTGGTTGTAAGCAACCTGCTGGAACAGGGCTGTTAGCGTCCCAGGCACAGGGCCGAGGTGGTGGCTCAGTGACAGGCGCAGAGCAAGGCAGACACGTCAGGAACGTCCAGGTGCGAGCGGGTGTGTCGATGGCATTGTCCTCTCTGCTGTCAGGCGTCCCTCAGCTCGGCCCGCTCCTCCATCACGCTACACGAGGTGGCTCCTTCCCACCTCAGGCGATCCAAGCAGGTAATTTGCAGTGTTTGCAAGAGAGTGGGTCAAAAACGAAGAGGAGGAGAACACACTGGAACAGCAGCGTTAAATGGGAGGCTTTTCTCGTAATGAGGCTTGAAATAGCAGCAGGTGAGGGGAAGGGGAAAGGCCGGCGTTGGAGGCAGGTGCGACACGGTGAGGCAGAATTCCAGCAGCTCCCTTGGCTTCCTTGGCCTGCAGCCCCTGCAAGGAAATATAATCAGCAGAGAGGTTAGGGGCGACGGTCACCCAGAAGCTCTGTTGCAAGGGGTTGATAAATCTCCCCCTGTGACCTCGGTAAATCCATTTCCCTGTTTTTCGCCCCTCACAGATATTTGGGTATCGACAACTTCTTTTCTCTAAACAAAGAGGTAGCTCCGGGGGCTTAAAAGAGGAATGGGAGAGATGCTCCTCCAGTATATGTATGGTGCTGAAGTCAGTTTGATCTCATCAAAATCTTGCCAGTAGTCAGATTCATTTTACTGAGCCTTTAATGGGAGCTTGCAGCTCAGTCAACGCCTTTCCCTTCACTTTGGCTGTGCATTTATTTTTAAGGGAGCCTTCCCATCTTGGAGATAGGAGGTAGCTGTTAGCCCTGATGACTAAAGCTGACGAGATTACTTGAGGGAAAAGCAAACCTGGATGGTGAAGAGCACTGAACATTCAGGTGTTTGGTTCCAGAAAACAAACAAACAAAAAACACCTCTGATTTATTCAGTGCACATTCCTGAGTTCCCAATGTTTCACTGACCCGGAGCTCCCACGGTGTCACAGGGTTTAGGCACCTGTTCAGCTGCAGACTCCCTGCTACTCGCGGTGAAATGGGTCATCCCTGCTGGCAGCCTGGCTGCGGTGGTGGCCCTGGGAGCGCCCGGCGGCCGGCCATCCTCCGCCTCCTCTTCCTCCCACCTGGGCGCTCAGCCCAGCGAAAGATGCATTGAGATGCAGGCCTGTGGTACCCAGACCCCGAGTGCTGCTGCTGCTGCTGCTGAGCATCCGTGCACTCTGCAGCCGGCTCTGACGAGGGAGGGCCCCAGTGAAGCCCCGCACGCACAACGAGCCCGTTGTGCGCGCGACAGTGTGCGCGTATCTAAGGTTGGATGCTTAAATGCTTTGTTGCATTATGTTAATTCCTCGGCAGTGCAATCAAATTCATGTCGTAATTAAAGCTGTCAGTTGGAAGGCAAGCCAATCGCCAAGAAAACACAGCATAACAAATGAAGTGAAATGATTCTGCGTGTAGCTATACAATGCTTCGCCAGGCATGAAATTAAATAAGTAATTTGATGTTGACATCAGAAATTGAAATGATACCCACTGTTCCCGCGTTCAGCCAGACCTGCATAAACAATAGCCAGAACAAACATGTACAAGACAGCCCTTCTCCCTACCCAGCTCCCCAAGTAATGCCCAATATATATGCAAAACGGGGAGAACTCTGCCTTCCAAGACCTCAAGGATGTAATTTTCTGTGGTACACAGTGAACTAATGTTTACATGAGGGTTACTATATTTTTAGTTTCTGGGCCAAAAGTTCTTCTCTTTCAACGATTGGTTTTGTTCCTTCTTTAAATAATGTGTTTTTAAAAAAAAAAAAAAAAGTGTAGAAGAAAAGCAACAAACCTGAAATCCTGTCAATTCTAAGCAAGCCACTTGCGTTTTGCCGATGGGCACCTGATGCAGGCATCTGCTGTGGTTGTGTGGATGTGGAATGGTGTATCTAATGTTGGCTTTTGCAGAGAGGGAGAGTGAAACCGTTACCTCTATTATAGGCACACTTTATATAAGAGCTGTAAAAGCATCCAATGCAGGAGCACGACTCAGCGTGGGCTTGTACGGATGCTGCATACACAGCATCCCTTCCAGCACTTGGTGACAAGGCTGGGCACTGGGTGGTAGGATCCTTTCGCTGTTGGGAGTTCCCAGAAGGTGAGAAGTTGTCTCCTTGCATAGCCCTTGCTTCAGCCTGTGTGCCCTGGCAGCAGCAGCCCTTGGCCAAGCCGACGTCATCATTCATGCATGTGCAACACAGTCCTTTGTGGCTATCGCACCCAAGGGAGCGTGCAGACCGTGCGAGCCACGCGCAGCGTGCATGTGTGCAGGGCTGTGTTTCCATTGAGCGAAGCCAAATTCCCTGAAAGGGCACAAACGTGTTTCTTTTCAGTGAAAGCCATTGACTGCTATGTTTCAACTGTCTTCCCATAGCCATCGCAGCATTGCTTTCCAAGGAATGGAAATATTGGGTGGGAAACGAGATATGCATTTGGTGTTTTGTTTTGTTTTGCTTTGGGACTTAATTCTTCTGCACCTTCAAAGAAAAAGCAGGCAAACAAAAATCACATGGAGATGCAGAATGCAAACTTGGAGCATTGCAGCCTCTGAAGCGATTTTAAAAAAAAGGAGTCGGGGGCTCGTGAAATCCCCATAGGTGGCCCGTGACAGGGACATAGTGGTTGTGACTGTTGCTGCTGTGTGTTGTAGCGCGTGACGTTGTACCTGTGTCGGCACTGGGGTCTGCGATCTGTCTGTGGTTACTGGTGGCCCTGAAGCAGCAAGAGCAGAGCCAGAAGGACTCGGGAATGGACTGGAGACCTTAGGCTGTCCATCCGCTGCACCTGGTGACCTCGGCTCCTGCAGGAGCTGCAGTTGGTCAGATGGAGAGGACTAAGTGGCAGCTCCCACATTCCTTCAGAAGTTCCATGGCAGCCTCTTCCTTCAGACAAGGAGTTCAGGCAGAGCCTGTTGCTGTCACGCTGTTGGTACCCTTCAGACTGCCAAGAAGGGATCCTCTTGCCACATGTTTTAATTTTAACAACTTCACGGGGAAGGCTTTTCCCTCTATGTACATATCGACTCTTGCTAGTAGTGCGTTGGTGAGCAAAAACGTACATATCCTATACGTACATATCCTTCCATATTGCTAGTAGTGCGTTGGTGAGCAAAAACTAACATTCAGATTATTTGCAGTGAATTTGCAGCTGTTAAATTTCTTGGCGCACCCCATTGTTGCCATGCAGAATTCCGTAAAAAGATCCATCTGAGAGATTTGAGAGTTTATTTTCTTACCTGTAGATGCGCTGGGTACTCAGTTACGGAGGGGATTCCCCTTAGGGTTCCGGTGGTTCAGACTGCCCCTTCCCCATGGTACACCAGGCTTGCTTGGGCTTCAAGGCTCTTCTTGCAAAAATTCCCTGGAAAAGGGCAACCGGCAGCTGTTTCCTCACCCACGGGCTGCCCGTGGGCTGCGGGGCCGGCTCTGCTGTGGGAGCCACTTGACCCCGTTGCGCCCGCAGCGCTGAGGCCTCTGCGGGGGAACCTGCCGCGTGATCTCGTCGCGCGGAGGCGCCATTTCGAGACGGGGATTTGAGAAGCGGGTGAGGCTCTTCCTTTCCTTTTCACGGCAGCACACGTAATTATTTTGATGCTTTTCAGCTCTGGAACCTGGTTCATTTTGTGGGGTTTTGGCCGCCTGGCTTTGCTTTCCTGTTCATAATCCCTCTCCAGGCCCGCGTGTCCATTCTGGGCCCGCACGTCTTCTGCCTTCTCGACTACTAATTATGTTGACAAAATGTCTCCTTTCAGCCGTGCGCCGCGCGGGCACCGAGCGGGGCCTTTCGGGAGTAAATTGGCAAGCAGGTCATACGTTGAAAAGGTCCTCCAGGCCCACCAGGCTTTTTGTTTTGAAGTCAGTCTCCATGGGGTTTTTTTTCGGTTTTGCATTTTTTTTCATTTTTCCCCTATTTTCCCCTCCTGCCTGCCCCGTGGTGGCCGCGGAGCTGAGTCGGTGGCGTCGTGAGCATTGAATGTCAGCGTGTCAGGGAGGCTGGCTGATGAGTGTCTGTTTAGTCTCAGCGCGGGGCGAAATGCCATCATTAATTCATTACCCAGCTGCCTGTCAAATAAATTGCCAATTACGTCCGGCGCGGAAACTCGGAATTCAGTAAATAGCACGTTACGGGCTCAGCGCTGCTGAGAGATGTAACGGGGGACATGAAGCACCGCGGTGTTTGTTTCAGTAGCAGATGACAAGGGGCAGCGCGCCAGGGCTGTGATATGGCCCTGAAAAGGCGGGCTGGGGGGCCAGTACCGCAGCGCGCGGCTGGCGACGTGGTGAAGCCCGGCGCTCACTTTCCGCTTTGTCTTTGTGTTTTATTGCAGAGCTCAGCTCCTTCCAGCTTGGGGACAGGCTACTTTGTAAGTGCACCTCAACTCTACCGCGTGTACCTCCCCACAGCCCAGCGCTGCCACCAAAGGGCCCCTTAGACGAAGAAGAGCATAAATACCTGGTCACAGGCAGCCTGATGGCTTCACTTGTCCTTCTCCATTTCTTCCACCTACCAACATGTTACCAAAAATCTATCCAATGTTTTAGATGTGTGGCTAGTGCCGGTTTGAGCAAATCACATTAATTACTGTATAAATTCCATAATCTAGAAACGTGTCTTTAGGTTACACATTTAGAGCAAATCAAACCAAGGTCTTAGCAGCTCTCAAATCCAAGATGCTGGGATCTTGTTTTTCCCCCAAACCAATTTTCAGTGATTCAGAGACATTAAAGAGCCCATCGTGAGAGCTTTACCTCGTCTCCCATCCAGCATAGTCCAGGGAGCAGCACACAAGGGTTCCTCACCGGTGGCTTAAGGCCCCGTATCTCATAAATGAGCTCAGAAAACACAGCAGTATTGGGGCTACTTTTATGTTTTACATCAACAGAAGAGGACCAGACCGTGACTGGTTTGATAATCAATCTGTCTATTTTTATTCCTATGCCCTGTATTGACTGCACGGTCCACACTCACACCCTTCTATCTCTTCCTTTACATATTCATCAATCTATTGATCTATCCTTTACTTGCACAGATAAGTTTGGGAATAAGGAGAAGTTTCCATTCAATCCAGTGCGCTGTTTATTTGCTTCCAAGATTTGTATTTACATTGCTTTT